TCTCTCAGAGGGGCGTGGGGAGGGGCTCCTTATTTTCATCTAAAGTAACAGACAGAGAATCAGCACTTTGGAAACAGGGCTGAAACAGAGGGGATTATGGGTAATGCTGCAATGATCTGTTTGGTGTTTCAGCCAATCAGAGACAGGCTCTGGATATATCTGAGACCTGTACTATATTGATGAAAAACAGTATAATAGGGGACTTTAATGGTGAGATCAAGTCTGAAATGTAACTTGCATCACAGCAACTCCATGTGTAACATCAACATCAACAAACATTTAACATAACATCAAAATCACTGAGAGAAAACCTGCTCAAAGAGCCTTCAGCGTGCATTTGATCTGGATTCAGCTCTGTGTTTACTGAGAGGATTGACTGGAGCACAAAGGATGCTTCAGTCTGACTTTATTGTTTCTCCGATTAGATGGGAGCAGCTGTCTTGTTTTGTTACCAGACTAACCTCCTCTCTTTACTCTCTCTCTCTTCTTCCAGTAAACCTGACATGTCGGACTCGGCCACGGTGTTGGAGGCCTTTAAATTCATCGAGAGCGCTGCAGCAGAATTCAGCGACGATGATGATGAGGAAGACAGCGAAGGGAGGGACAAGACCATCTTAAACATGGCCACAGTAAGACATTTACACACTTCTATCAAACGTATTCTGTTACCCTTCAGCAAATCACAGCTCTTGGTAAAGTTGTGGAGTAGGTATTCAGATCCCTAACCTTCCACTACGGGTGAAAGGCCTGCATTTAAAACCTAACTTTAGTCAAATCATGTGAGTATAATCTGGGAAATGTACTTCAAGTAAATGTAAGTGTTCCCTGTTAGTGTTTTACTATTATGCAGAATATGATGATTTGGGATTCACATTGGCATCGATGTGTATGTATGTTGAGATTATTTGAACTCCTATAAGAGATAAGAGTTACTTTATTGATCCCAAATTGGGGAATGTTTGCATTGCAGCAGCTTAAAAAACAACAAAACAAAACAAGGCATTGCACATAAGTAGATATGAGTAGAAATAAACAATACTATAATTTAAACATCTCAAAATAGAATTAAAGCAGCATTAAAAAAAGTAGAAAATACACATGAGGCCGTATACATACTGTTGGGTAGTTTAAATTACAGCAATGCGTAACATTCTGTAAATGCATTATGTGTTTGCAGCCTCACCACCCAGAGGGGAAACATGTCAAAAGTCTAAAAAAAAGTTTTGATTTTCTCAGAATAACGTTTTCAACTTTGTGACGATGCATTTTCAAATATATCCAAAAAGCTTTAGAAGAGTTTATTTACGCTAAGACGGTAATTCTCTTAAAATTTAAGGAACACCTTATTCTTCAGTTTATCACAAACATTCAAAAATCAACACATCTGGAGATAAATGATCTTCACTGTACTGGAAGGGGAGGACAAGCTGTCAGACGTCTGTAGTGGAGTTAACCGTAGTATGAGGTTGAATGAAATACAGATACCTGAAGTTTGTACTTAAGTGCAGTTCTTAATGGGGTAGGAAGTAGAGGAGTACAAATACTTAGTTACTGTACTTAAGTACATTTTTCTGGTATCAGTACTTTACTCCACTACTTATTTTTCTAACGACTTTTTACTTTGACTTCTTACATGTTGAACACAAATACCTGTACTTTCTACTTCTTACATGTTGAACACAAATACCTGTACTTTCTACTTCTTACATGTTGAACACAAATACCTGTACTTTCTACTTCTTACCTGAGACTGCCAAGGCACACANGTCTCATAAATAAACTGTTTCAAGAGAGGAAGCATTTCAGTTATTAAATAGTACATGATCTGAATTCAAGTATTCCTGTTTCACCAAACGCGTGTGTTTAGTTTGGTGAAACAGGAATACTTGAATTCAGATCATGTACTATTTAATAACTGAAATGCTTCCTCTCTTGAAACAGTTTATTTATGAGACGTAGGAAGGTCGGGGTGTGGCCGTCTGGGAAAAGCAACATAAAGCCTATCGCTGGCACTGAGATGACAGGAACTTGTGTGTAAATAATCCCAAACATTTGCTTTAAAGTGTCGGTGTCCACTCACCTAGCAGTCCTCCGTATGATGGGGACTGTTTGGGAGGAACGCCAAAGAAAACCTGTCCTATTCTGTCGAGATACTGAGGAGCCATCAGAGGTCCAGAGGGAGAGGAGCACAGAAAAACAACCGAACACATGTTAACCAGGACTGAGATATTGTCCAGGCATCACACACATACATATACTTAGGGATATTTAAGATATGATTTAGAGCAGGGGTTTTCAAAGTGTGGGAAGGTGAGCCTCCCCTCAGAGAACATAAAAACAGCCGCGCCCCCCCCCCTCCCAATTATTATTGCTATAATGCAGGGGTATTCCAGTGAGAGAACATGTTATTATGTTCTGCTTTCGCTGTCTACCTTTTTTTTGAGCACGCCATTTGAAATGACACCGACTGTTTCTCTCTTCTTGTCTCGTCTCTCTGTGTGTGTTTGAATCTACCGTGCTGAGTCACTGACTGCACCGATTTGATTGGCTGAGTAGCGTAACCTCCTTAAAACATTAAACAACCCGTATATTTCCGCACGCCGTGTTCTCAAGACATTTTTTTTTTAACATTTTCAACATCTTGGATAAATCCTTATATGCTCCCGGCAACACACTGAACGTCAACTTATTACACTCAGCCCTACTTTAGTGGGAACAATGAGTCTGCGTCTTTGATGCAGGGAATCAATGTAGACAGGAATAAACGCAGATCCTCCTCTGTCTGAAGCCTTGACCCGTACTTGCTTTTCATCAAAGTAAGAATTATTAAAAATTAAAATAAAGGGCGTTGCCGGTCGTCAGCGAACAGAGCCGGCTGTCCGTCAACGGCCCGCTGACGACCGGCCGTTCTGTGATTCTCCAGAAGACACAGATGGCCCGTCCGCCCCTGCCAGGACCGGTCCATGAAAATCCTAGCTTCAAATAATCGTGGTCATACTTCCTCCGTTTTCTCTCTCACTTTAGGTCACTTCACTAAAAATCGATCCATGTTGCCGCTCGCATGAAGTTAGCTGAAGTTAACTAGCTAGATTTCACTGTTTCTCGTTATTTGTTTCTCTCGCTGCGCCCCCCCTAAAGCTCTCCGGCGCACCCCCCCCCCCCGGGGAGGCACGCCTCACACTTTGAAAACCGCTGATTTAGAGTATGAAACAAGTGAGCGTCAACACTCACCTCATTATACATGGGGTCCCTCTTCAGGGAAGGTTGATATTGCTCACATAACACTGTGAAAACTGTTAATTTACCCCTGAAGAAACAAAGAGAACAAGCCATATTATACAATGCATTAATACCCTCAAGATATTTCTCAAACACAAACAATTTACTGCTCGTAAAAAGTAGTGTATACATCTCAAGGCGGGTTAGTTGATGATTTGAATGCCACCTTAGATTAATTTTAAGGCCAACTTTAAACAAGACGTAAGGAAAAGACTACATTTATGATGCCAAATGCTTCCTGCTCAAAATACACTGCCTGCTTCCACTTTCAGACACTTTCATGTTTTTTAAAATTAAATGTGCACTTCCCTTATAATTCTGACCGTTAAGGCAAGAGGCATTTGTTAAATTATTCAAAAATTTAAAAAAACAAGTGACCAATTTGCTTTCTGTGATTTAAAATTGCAATATTAAGTTTTAAAAAAAGATTAATAAAATCTCTTTGAAATATTGATCTCACACACACACACACACACACACACACACACACACACACACACACACACACACACACACACACACACACACACACACACACACACACACACACACACACACGCTGCATTTTAATAAATCCAATAAGGTTTTCTTAAGGGTCTGCAGGAACCACGCCTTGCTTTGTTGAGATGCATGCTGCAGGAGGAAGTCAGCTAATGCTATCTTAATGAGCTCATAACATGCGCAGAGCTCACTGCTGAGGAATCTGCACACATGTACAACAGAGTAAGAGCTTTGAGTGTGAATGCAACACATAGGACTCACCCATCCACTGCCAGCAGCAGAAACCAGATAAAGTTGAGTAGGGGCTGGACGAAGGGAGGGCCCTTCTCTATGGACGGGTGTTTCTCTGTGTATGTGCTGAACACCACGGAAGCACCGCTTTTGTTCTTTAAGCAGAGGAACCTGCAGCGAGGAGGATCAGAGGAGACGGGGAGAAGGTGGGAGAGAAAATGATTCAGAAAGTGGGACACGGAGGAAGAAGGAACAGAGATAGAGAGATCAAACGCTTTACAGAAAATGCTGACAGACAGAAATGGATATGACACACACACTGGAGGAGGATGCATCAACAATACTACTATCTACAATACCACACCCTCAATCCAACAACACCTTTGAGAGTAAGGATTATTCCTGCACTCATTTAGAATATACACTCTTTTTGTTTGACTAAATGGTCAAGGCTTTAGATTTGAAAGGTCCCCTATTAGACTGTTTTTCATCAATATATCACAGGTCTCAGATATATATAGAGCCTGTCTCTGATTGGCTGAAACACCAAACAGATCATTGCAGCATTACCCATAATCCCCTCTGTTTCAGCCCTGTTTCCAAAGTGCGGATTCTCTGGTTGTTACTTTAGATGAAAATAAGGAGCCCCTCCCCACGCCCCTCTGAGAGACATTTGGTTACAAAGAACTCAATGGTGCTCTAGGAGGAGATTCAGGTGGTAAGGGGGGAGGGGGTTACCTTGGTTGCTGATTGGCTAATGGTTACACAAGACAACACATCGTTATGACATCATAAAGTGGCCAAAATCTGATCAGCTCATTTTCAGACAGGTTTTTATAGAAATGGATCAAAAAGAGAGAGAGTCTCTTTCCACAGAGGGGACACATGTTGATGTAGAAGAGACATGAAGAAGAGGGGACACATGTTGATGTAGAAGAGACATGAAGAAGAGGGGACACATGTTGATGTAGAAGAGACATGAAGAAGAGGGGACACATGTTGATGTAGTAAAAGACATGAAGAAGAGGGGACACATGTTGATGTAGAAGAGACATGGAGAGAGGGGACACATGTTGATGTAGAAGAGACATGAAGAAGAGGGGACACATGTTGATGTAGAAGAGACATGAAGAAGAGGGGACACATGTTGATGTAGAAGAGACATGAAGAAGAGGGGACACATGTTGATGTAGAAGAGACATGGAGAAGAGGGGACACATGTTGATGTAGAAGAGACATGAAGAAGAGGGGACACATGTTGATGTAGAAGAGACATGAAGAAGAGGGGACACATGTTGATGTAGAAGAGACATGAAGAAGAGGGGACACATGTTGATGTAGAAGAGACATGAAGAAGTGGGGATTTTTCATAATAGGTGACCTTTTAGATGCTGATGACATCTTGTTTTAGAGGTCACTACCTGCTCTTGCTGCACTGCCGGACCGTCTTCTTGAACTTGTTGTTGATTTCTCGGAGCAGCTCGGAGGTTTTCTTCTGGTGCCTCCTCACCAGCTCCTTCAGCTCCTTGAACTGCCGCCGCTGCTCCTTCTGGTAAACCTTCGACTGCTGCAGAGCCTCCATGGAGCACACCGGCACATCTGGGGGCAAATGTGGATATTTTGAATGAAGTTTAGTTTAGTTTGTTCATAGTGTCGTGGACAGTCCCCATTGATCAACTGTCACAAAAAACAGTACATGGGGCAGCTTTAGCCAACATTGCTAATTTCCAGCTGTTGTCCAGATGATAATGGACACCTTTTTAAAAGCAATACATCAACAGCATTAGTTATAAAGAAAGGATGAAAGACAAGTAGATAGAGGCAAAAGGATAAAAGAGAACAATGAAATGCAAACAACAC